GTAGGTCTGGGGTAGAACCTGAGAATTTGCATTTCTAACAGGCTCCCAGGAAATGCTGTTGTTCCAGGGACCACACTTTGAGAACTGATATCTTACATCATCCCCATCTTCCCAGACAGGCCAGAGATTCTGTGCCAATTCTGATCTATGTGACAGTTCTGGTGATGCTGAAGCATCACTACCCTAGAATCAAGCAAAAATTAGAGGAGTTTGGGGCATGGAGAGCAGCTTTTCTGTCCACCATAACCCTTGGTGGACCTAAGCTTGGAGAGGCCATGTTGGGAGGCTCAAGTGGTGATCCCTCAAAGGTCCCAGGTCCCATCTGCCTCCAGTCTGGTTCGCCTGCCAGAGTGCTTCCAGTATGCCATTGCATAGGTTTGGGTATAGGGTCCCTTCAATTTTAAACAAAATATTTAAACAAAATAAGAAATGAAGAGACGCGACAACTGATACCACAAAATGCAAAGGATTATTAGAAAATACTACAAACAACTCATGCCAACAAATTGGACAACCTGAGAGAAATAGAAATAAATTCCTAGAAACATACAAATTTCTAAGACTGAATCAGGAGGAAACAAAATCTGAACAGACTGATAACTACTAATGGAATCAAATCGGTAATCAAGAAACTCTCAATAAACAAAACTCCTGGACCAGATGGCTTCAGAGGTGAATTTTACCAAACAGTCAAAGAAGAATTAATACCTATCCTTCTCAAACTATCCCAAATAACTTAAGTGGAGGGAAGGCTCCCAAACTGATTTTATGAGGCCAGATTGATCCTGATACCAAAACCAAACAAAGATATTGAAAAGAGAAAATTATAGGTCAATAACTCTGAAGAACATATGAGAAAAAATCCTCAACAAATTCTTAAAAAACTAATTCAGCAATATATTAAAAAGATCAGACACCATGATCAAGTGGGATTTATTCCTGGGATGCAAAGTTGGTTCAATATCAGCAAATCAATTAACATGATTCACCACATAAATAAAATGAAGGATATAAATCATATGATCACATCAATAAAGCAAAAATAATATTTGACAAAATTCAACATCCATTTATGATAAACACTGTCAGCAAAGTGGGGATAGAGGGAACACACTTCAACATAATAATGGCCACATATGACAAACCCACAGCTAACATCATATGCAATGGCAAAAAGCTGAAAACTTTTTTTTGAAAGACTGGGACTAAAACAAAGATGTCTACTTTCACCACTTCTATTCAACATAGTATTAGAAGCCTAGCCACAGCAATCAGGCAAGAAAGATAAATAAAAAGCATCCAAATTGGAAAAGAAAAAGTAAACTGTCATTATTTATAGATAACATGATATTATATATAGAAAACTCTAAAGAATCCACCAAAAAACTATTAGGACTGATAAATGAATTCAGTAGCAGGATATAAAATTAATATTCAGAAAGCAGTTGCATTTTTATACACAAATAATCTATTGGAAAGAGAAATTAAGAAAACAATTCCATTTACAATTGCATGAAAAAATAAAATACCTATGAATAAATTTAACCAAGGATGTAAAATTACTCAGAAAACTATTAAGACATTAAAATAAGAGCTAGAAGAAGATACAAATAAATGGAAGGCTATATCATGCTCATGGATAGGAAGAATTAATATTGTTAAAATATCCAAGTTACTCAAAGCAATCTACAGATTAAATGCAATCAAAATGCCAATGACATTTTTCACAGAACTAGAACATATAATCCAAAATTTATATGGAACCATAAAAGACCATAAATAGCCAAGTAATATTGAGAAAGAAGAACAAAGTTGGAGATGTCATGCTAACTGATATCAAACTATACTACAAGGTATAGTAAGCAACACAGCGTGGCACTGGCATGAAAACAGACACATAGATCAATGGAACAGAAGAGACCATAAATAAACCCACACCTATATGGTCAGTTAATCTATGACAAATATACAATGGGGTAAAGACAGTCTTTTCAATAAATAATGTTGGGAAAACTGGACAGTCACATGCAAAGAAATGAAATTAGAACATTATCTTACATCATATACAAGAATAAACTCAAAATGGATTTAAAGACAAATGTAAAACCTGAAACCATAAAACTCCTAGAAGAAAACATAGGTAGCAAACTGTTTGACAATGCTCTTAGTACTATTTTTTTGGATATGTTTCCTGAGGCAAGGGTAACAAAAGAAAAAAATAAACAAATGGGACTACATCAAACTAAAAAGATTTTGCACATCAAAAGCAACCTCAAAAAAACGAAAAGAGAACCTACTGAATGGGAGAAGATATTTGCCAATGATACAACCAATAAGGGGTTAATGTCCAAAACATATAAGGAACATATACAACTTAACACCAATAAAATTAACAATCCAATTAAAAAATTGGCAGAGGAATGGAATAGACATTTCTTTAAAGAGGTCATACAAATGGCTAATAAACATATGAAAAGATGCTCAACATCACTAATCATCAGGTAAATGCAAATTAAAACCACAATGAAATATTACCTCACACCTGTCAGAATGGCTGTCATCAATAAATCAACAAACGAGTGTTGTGGAGAATGTGAAGAAAAGGGAACTCTGGTGCACTGTTAATGGGATTGTAAATTAGTACAACCTCTATGGAAAACAGTACAGAGTTTCCTCAGAAAGTTAAAAATAGAGCTACTTTATCATTCAGCAATTCCACTTCTGTGTATTTATCTGAAGAAATCTGAAACACTAATTCAAAAGACATATGCACCCCTATGTTCATTGCATCATTATTTACAATAGCCAACATATGGAAGCAACCTAAGTGTCCATCTATACATGAATGGATGAAGATAAGGTGGTACATATATACAATGGAATATTACTCAACCATAAAATAGAATGATATTTTATCATTTACAACCTAGAGGGTATTATGCTAAGTGAAATAAGTCAGACAGAGAAAGACAAATACCATGTGATTTTACTTATATGCAGAATCTAAAAAGGAAAATAAATGAACAAACAAAACAAATAAACTCATAGATATAGGAAAAAAAATTGGTCGACACAGGATGGGACAGGAGTTGGAGGTAAGGGTGAAAAGGTGAAAGGGATTAAGAAGTATAAATTGCCAATTATAAAAATAGTCACAGAGATGTAAAATGACAGCATAGGGAATATAGTCAATAATATTGTAATAACTGTTTGGTGTCAGAAAGATACCAGACTTATCCAGGTGATCACTTCATAAGGTATATAAATGTCTAATGTCTATGTTATACACCTGAAATATATAATATATGTCAACTGTAACTGAAAATAAATTCTAGTAAATAAATGCAGATCTGATCATAAAAAAAAAAAATGCCTCTTTTTCACCTGGAAAATTCCTAATGGAATCCTGGGTATTTGGGCTTGTGTAACCACCCATGCTAACTTAAGTAAGTGCTATTCTTTCTTCCTGAACTGTGAGGTTCTTAGTGATTGAGTAGAGTCCAGAACAGCAGTCTCTGAGTCCATTAATTCCTGCATGTGTGCATGTATTCCTCCAATCATGCTTTTAGTAAACATTTATTACCTGCTATGTGTTAGATGCTAAATGATGTTGCACTTGTCTGCCCTGGATCACAGAGTCCATCATCCACTGCCTCAAGTCTCATGACTGTGGAGAGCATTGAATGCTCAGCTCTCCTCCTTCCTCTGTCTCCCTCCCACTGCCTCAACTCCTGGTATGTGCCAGCTCTCTCTCTCCACTGACTTGAGGCCTTATTTATCCTTCTCACCTCCAGGCTCCATGCTTGCCCCAGAACCCCTAGCCTGGGTCTCCGTGAGGTCTTCCAGCCTGGAGCCTCTGCTTCACTCCTACCACTGTGTCCCCTGGTACCAACAGCCTCTTTTTTATCAGAAAGAGTCATCTGTCAGCTGTGCTGCGGAGAATGACCTTTTTGCACTATAATTAAAGTGATTATCTGAGCAGAAATGATTACTATTATGAAGTAGCCCTCTCTGTTTTAATATGTGTAGTTGTTGTAATGGGAACATGAGATTTCCATGTTAACATTGATATTTCCATGGTCTAATAAATCCTTCCTATCACTTATCTCCCAAAGGAGAGAGGAGACACACTGTGTAGCAGCTCAAGGTAATGGGCAGATTCCTGCTCTACTCGAGATCCTAGCCCTCTGGCCAGACCACTAAGCTTCAGAAAAATGCCTTCAGTAACTTTCAGAGTGCCACAGGTGTCCCTTCCTACAGAGAATTGGATGCACAGACCTGGAGAGGGGTCTCAAGGAGGGACCTCCAGATGGGAGCCCTCCCGGAGGGTCTTCGAGAGAAAAAAGAGAATGCACCCCAGAAGTGAGGGTGCAGGCTCAGTCTCGGCTACAACTGGATGAGCAGTGCGACTGTAGGCATGTCATTTTCTGTGCCTCAGTGTTCTACCTGTGAAATGGGCTAATAATACCATCTATGTCATAGGATTGCTATGAAGACCATGTGATACGACAGATGGAAGGCAACTAAACTAACATCTGACATGTGTGGACACCCCACAAATGGTCTGGTTTTACTATTATCATGAGAAAAACTGAGGCCCAAAAGACAGATGGTGATAGACACTAAACACAACAGTGGGGTTCACTTTCATGCCACTTCAGGTGTCTATTGAGCATCTGCCAGGTGTAGGCACCACTCTCGGTCAAGGATACAGCAGGGAGCCCAATCTTCACACACACTTGCATAATCCCAGAGGTGCCATAACTGTGTCTGGCCCCACCAATGGTTCACACTGTGCTCTCCAGTGGCCAAGCAAAGCCTGGACTCAGCTCTGTGCACCCCTGGCCAGAGGCCTATCCATGCAACACACTGTTTCCTGTGCATTCTGGGCCCGTTGATAAAGCTGCTCGCATGTGAGCAAACGCTGCAGGTTCAGCTGAGATGCTGCTAGTGTCGGGGAACTTCCTCTCTCAACTTAGGCTCTTCTGTTCTGTTTATAGAGTCTGACACCGGGATGGCCTGGACCCCAATGGACATCGCCATCATTGCAGGTGAGCTGTCCAGGAACCCTTCAAGCAACCAGGAGAGTCAGAGGAAATGCCCAGGGAAGAAGCCACCTAAAGACTCAGGCAAGGGGACAGGATATGGCCAGTGCTTTCCTTCTCTCAGGGGAGGTTTTGAAATGCGATGCTTCTCCATCCTTACTCTAAACCCTGCACTGGCTCCACTGGTCACAATTGTGACCCCAAACTATACTTCAGGAATGGCTAGGTTTGGGAGTGTAGGCTGCTGTTTCCTCCTGAGATTCACATGTCTCCCCAGCTCATTAACAGCTCAGGTACTTTATAATTAGATATAAATAAGTAAAAGCAGGCCCTCAAAGACTCCTGCTCAGTTCTATTTAAGCTGGTGTTCTCCATTCTCCAGCTCACTGGACTACTGAACCCTTTTTCTTCATAGACAAGATTATTAACATCATTCAAACAGAAGTGCTGTCCTGAAAGCAGCAGGAAGTTTATGAAATTGTTCCTCAAAAGTGGGACTTGGGAAAACTTTTAACTTCTTCATATTCTCCAAAAGCCTCCAAAGCCCCCAAATAAACCTACATTCTAAGTCAAGGCAGTGGGCTTGCTCTGTAGCTTCAAAGCTATACCTAAGCTCACAATGCCCCTTCCAAGGGCTGGCCATTAGCTCTACTCAAACTGTCTAGTTATTCCTCTTCATCCGTCACCCCAAGGCCCTGAATCACCTGGTCCTACTGACCAGCTCTCAAGCCTCATCTCCCGACCCTTTCTGACTTCAAACAGAAATGAAGGACTGACTGCTTCCCACACCCCATGCCCTTAACACACATCCTCCAGGATCCCCTCCATCCATATTTTTGCTTGGCCACCACCTGCTCCTCTGCAGACTCTTCGAAGACCCCACCTTCCAGGACCACAGGGGAGATGGGCTGTGGCCATGAGCAGTGAAACTACACTTCTCCCAACTGTCCCGGGTGGCCCCAGCTCGGGCGCAGGCCATCACCCTAGCCTTTCCCCCTGAATAGGGACCCAACTCTGCCCAATTTTCTAGCATCTTTCTGGTTTTAGCACTTTAAGTTCCACGCCCCAGGAAATTACTCTGTAAGTATTGTCTGGGTTTTAAAAGTGGAAGT